ACCCGTTATGATTTCGCTAAGGAAAACGTAATTTGGATGAGGTATTCGCCATTATTATTAGTTCCTACAAACCTAAAATTACTAATGATACAACTTAATATTTTGAATTGATTTATGAAATTCCGTTTTTGATCTATAAAAATACAAGTATTAATGTCTGATGAGGAAATTAGTTTTGCAGATATGAGACGCATTTTATATGATTTTCATTTTTAAATTCAAATGAAATTTCTCTCTTATTTTTTTTTTGACAAAACACATTCACCAATCCCGTTCCGCCGCTTTCTTAATTTTCATGAATGAACAATAAATGTGGCGAAGTGCTACCAAATTTATTAATGCAAGAATTTTGTTTGCTGCCATGGCAATCGTCAGTTAGGTTCACTAATGAGAATAACTGAATAACAGAATAGAGATTTGATTTACGGAAACAAAAGAGACAAAATAAAATTTAAAAAAATACAGACGAAATAATAAAACTGTATCCAGGTTTTATCCACAGATTGATTATATCATTTTAATCATTTCACTCCAAGCAAGGCGACAATGTCACTAAGACGCAAACATTTAGTGAAAGTGAAAGAGGACTAGAAGGCTTTAGTGAGGAGAAATAAGAAGAAAAGGACAATAAAATAACGGCTTTCTGGAAGATAAAAATGGCAATTGGTTTTGCCTTTAAATTTTAACATTACTGGAGATTTTGACGAATTAGTTTGATATTTTCCCGGTTTTTGCTTTGTCTGGTTAAAACAATGCACAAGATAGAATCATTAATTTTTGTATAACAAGATAAAACAACATTAGGTGTCGGAATCTAATTATTTCTTTTGTTTTATTAAATTTCCCAAATTCCCACAATCAATACTGATTTGATAACCGAACAGAATATAAAATAAGTTAATTAAGACTCGATGCTAGCAATTCGATTCTCAAGGATCAAGATTCTAATGTTTTATTAAAAGTTTTATGAACAGAGTATTCTTCTTACAAGAAGACTAGTAAATAAGGTTATCTCAAGGCTTTAAATGTCTTTTAATTCTCTTCGTTTTATTTCTTCACGTTGAATTCTTAACGCATCTCGATTGAATATCATAACTTAGTAAGCTTTTTAAGATTCGCAAACTCATGAATTTTTTTCTGGGATATGTTGATAGGTTCAAATAATAAAAAAAATTTCCCTCCTGTTTTTAATTTCGAATGTTGAAGAACAAAAACCTGAGGATGATGCAGTGTTTTTGCTTTTTATAATTGTGCACTCTAAGATTAGTATTTCTTCTATTGTACTTAGACTTTATGTATTTAAAGCACAGTACTAGATTGGTGGAAAGGCCACATCATTTTACATTTGAAATAGCTAGAAGCGACTGTGAGTTCTATGCTAAAGGTTTCTTTTCTCGTACTTCTCGCTTGTGGAACTCTCTTCTGGCTTTTTGCTTTCCAGACAAATTTGATTTTCAAAAATTTAATTGCAATGTCAGTCGTTATGTTCTTTCTTCTTAATTCCTGGTCTTTTATTGTCCTCTCTCCTTAATAATATAGTTTCTCTCATATTCTCTAACATTCAGTAACATCTTTGCGGCTTAGTGGCTATATTTCCTTGCTTAGAGTAAAATAATTCAAACAAAGTCTTAAGTGAAGTAAAAACGTGAAATCACAGTCGATAGGTATGATGGCACAAAAGAAAAGTTTACGATCGCAATTCGTTGTTAATATTTTTTTTCTGGCAATTAATTCAAAGCATGTTGTACCTTATTCGTTTGAAAAGGTCAGTTCCAAAAGAAACGGATGTTTTAGGTTTTTATTGTTGAACAAGATTGTAGGCTTTATAGACGGAAGTCGATGTAAGTCACTTGAATTTATTAAATGATTTTCATTATAATTATTTTCAACTTGGTTTAGCTTTTAAGTTTTCTTTGTACAGAAGAAAGATCAATCATTATCATCCTCCTCCTCCTCCTCATCATCATCATCATCAGTTCCATGATGGCGTCGAATTCATTTCAAAAAGCCCTCAGTCCAGCGAGACCATGCCATTTGACCACTGGCTGTATACATAGTTTACACACCAGTCTACCGCAAGAAGTTACATCCGTCCTTTGACACATTTTTATCGTGTCACATGCCAAGCCACTTTACTTACCAGAAAAAAAAGCCTGGTGGGGAAAACGGTTTAGTCGTCGATGACTGGACCTCTAGGTAAAGTGCTGAAAAGTTGTGCATTGTACAATTCACACTTAAGTTGTATGGATGTGAAATAGTAAAAATGGCCTTTTTGTGAGATTTGAATACGCTTTTGAAATGCATGGAAACCCATATGACAGGGACGATGCCTTACTAATTGGGTCACTTCATTTAGCATGGCTACTTAATGAGGAAAATACATTTTTAAATATTCAACTATCCTTGATAACAAAAGGGAGAAACAATATATCTGTTTTCTTTAAGCAAATTTAATTCGGAAAAAAAATTCTTTAAAATAATTTTATCCAATCCGATTCACTTATGCAAATAAACGACTCAAATATTTTTGTATGCTTGATCGATAAACCAGAATTTATTCTTTTTTTGCTTCAAAAGCCTTCATATCAAATAATGCTTACCAATTAAATTCTGAGATTTATTTATGAAATGGATTGTATGAAAACTAAGATTAAATATAAAATCAATTGATCTTCTTATCTGAAGAACAAGAAAATGTGAAAAGATTCATTTATTAATTTGCCGGAGAGCAGCACATTTTCTTTATTAAGTTTCTCAAGTGCACAGGTCGGTAGGCGTAATTAACACTGTTTAAAAAAAACGGGGCGTTTATTTCAAACATGGATATCCACTAAAACAACGTTTGAAATAATGAAAGGATAAAATTATGTAAATCTTTACAGATAATATTGTCCAAAAGCGTCCTTGTAGGCGACGAATTATTTTCCACCCTGGGACCTCTACGAGACATCTCAAGCCTCTCACTGCTCTATCGCCATTTCTATGGTGAATGTTCAGATGAAATACACTCCTTACTTCCACCAGTCCTCATCTTCATATCTACGACACGCCATGCCGCGCCCATTATAGTGAACTACCGTCAATCCCTTTTGCATTTCCCTGGTGAGATGTAAGTTCCACTCAAGCTGATTTTTTCCAGGAACGACTACCTTGTGAAAACGACTCCATAGAAGTTGCTTCCACGATCACTATAATCTCAACCTGTTCAATTCAAGGGTTAACCGTTGCCTTCCACACATATCCGCATAAGTTGTGCCTCTTACTCTGCACCTCGGACCTTGTACGAGTGAACACCATTGTACAAAAAACATGTCTATTAAAGTAGTTTTCTAATATGTATATCTGTCGCATTACGCTGAAATCTATCTACAAATGGCTGATGAAAAGTTATCCTCCCAAACCAAGATGGAAATATAAAATATATCTGAATTTAGAGAAGAGGGTCGGCCCGAGAATTTTTCTTTACGCCATTCTAAAAAAGATAACGATCCATCACAGTCATTTCATAATTAGAAATCAAATTAAGCGGAATAAAAAGATAAATGGAAACTTCATACAAGGCTCGAGAGTCACCCAAGATAGAGGGTTACTGTTAAAATGATTATGATGAACGGTGTGTGTGTGATATGAATTAAAAGGAAGCTGGTAGAAAGTGAAGATGATGCGGACAAGTTGGTGCATGGCCCTTGCCTTGAAAAGGTTTAAAATCGGAGATTAAGATTTTGATTTGTGTTGCGGCTGTTCAATCTTTACCTTCCAATCTTATTCGTCATTTTGCAGCCTTTTCTTACCACAGATACAGCGTCACAAGCATATCGTTACTTTAACGGTAATTCCATGGCAAATGGTCAGATAAGCTCTATTCTTCCACCAATTCAGACCATTACAGATAGGACACATCATGTTACTCCCTCATTTTCTCCGTATACCAAATGTGAGGCGAAAGTTTCATTCAGACGTTTTTCTCAATAATAGACACTTGGTAGAACAGATTACTGCATGAATGTTTTCCTTGGACACTAGAATCTCAACCTCTTCAATCCTTATCTATCCTGTTTATCCTCGTAATTTTCTCGTTCTATCATCTCTTTTGTTCAATTCTAGCAGACAGGATGTGAATATGGATGTGAGTTGAAGCGAAAATAAGAAATATCATAGAAATAACTGAATATTAACATCAATGGGACCCACAGCTAAAGCAAACGAGTAAATTCAAATATCTGGACAGCAAATTTATTGAAAACGGCAAACTAAACAGAGAAATCGAGACCAGATGTCAGAAAGCCAACGCAGTCAGTTACCAACTTGCTCCTCTTCTAAAACATCCTAGAATTTCCATGAGCACCAAGGCAAATCTCATCAACGCCATTTTCCTACCAACGCTGACATACCACTGCCAGACATGGTCCCTAACAAAAATCCTTGAGAGGAAACTGATCAATTGTAAGATGAAATGTCTGAGGAAAGCAGTGAACAAGACCAGGCGAGACAAGATGAGGAATGAGGCAATAAAAGATATGGTAAGAGCAATACCAATCATACAACACATCGAATGACAGAGGATCAAGTGGTTCGGGCTCCTCACACGTATGCCTATCAACCAACCAGCCCTACGAGCATATACCCTCAGGTATACTGGCTGGAGAGCGAGAGGCAGACGAAGAAGAAGCTGGAGCGACTCAGCGGCAGACACTCTCAGAGCCCACGAGATATCGCACATTCAGGCCACTCGCCTTGCCACTGACAGACGAGGTGTCTTGCCGCGACTCCTAACAGCACAAGCGGAAGGAAAAACAAAAAAACTAAACTAAACATAGAAATAACCTTTTCGTATATGCCGTGTCCTTTCAGGACGTAGGCGATCAAGGCTCTCCCCAATGTCCTGCCTTTTTTATACAGATTTTAATAAGCAGCAAAACTTATTAGCGAGACAATCCATACACGCAATATATTCATCCCTTCAATTTGTGGCTAAAGGTTCCCCTATATGTAACGTAGGCTTACGACCACATCACGTTTAAACATCTGTTCTCGTACGATCACCAAAATTAAGCAACGTCGAGCCTGGCCAGTACCTCGATGGGTGTCTGTTTGAGAATACCCGGTGTTACAAGCCAGGACGTGCGGGTGGTGTATTGAACTATGACTCGGAATTGTTAAACGGAAAGCCGAGTTCTAATTCCATTTGGGTTTGCGATATTCACTTATGCGCAAATACCTTTGGGAAAGGTATAAATTCACCTCTTCTCCCCAAGACAAGGGTTAATTAGTTAAACTTGTATCAATAAACCATCATCTCAAAAAAAGGCTTACAATATAAAAATATTTTCTGTCTTTAACCTGCAACCTGCAAAAGGGTTGGTAAAATGTAAAAAAAAGAATCAATCAATCTAGATATGTAGTGCCCTTCCTTTCAATTTTCTAATTACGATTTTAATTTTGTTACAGACAGTCGCTGGATGACGGTCAGACGACACCTGTCTCTCCTTAGTGGGCGTGTCAGTTTCAAAAGAGCTGACTCATACCCTTACCCGTTATTTTTAAATTGTTCACTGGCATGGTTGTTTTTGATATTGATAAGGGCGGGATTTTCTCTTGACTTCCCTACGGTTGTTTTAGTTGGGCGTTGACTCTGGGAGTTTACCCACACTATGACAAGTCTTATTTTCTTTCTGTCTGAATTCTAAGCATCCCCCTCTTTCACTTCAAAGGGGAGCTAGGGAAGCGGGTGTGGCCGCCGAAAATCCGACATAAAATATTACGGTTCTAATTTAGTTTTATTTTGTTTGGACGATTATCAACAGTTCGATTCCACCACTGTTGCAAGACCACCACCCACCCACATTGGTTATGGGAGATACATGTACAAGTTCAAAGGTCAGCACCACTGACTATTTAGAGTGGTATGCGGTCTGGTACGTACAAGGTGTTAGGGAGGCAGAGAATTCAGTTTTCTGTTTATTTAAAAAGAAAATTGACGAATTTACCCTAAATCAAGGTAAAAGCCACGGTCTCTTAGCAAAAAGGTTCCTCTTCTTTTTCTTGTTTCTTGCTCTTCAGTCTTCCTTCCAATTTTCAAGCTTCCCTTTGAATCTTCTAGAAATGCCTTCACAATAATTATTCTGATCAGCTTTACTCGTTGATATCTCGACTTCACGAATTTAAGAGCAATACTAGATTAGTATCAACGGCTCATCATTTCATCGTTGAAATGGCTAGATGAATCCGTAAGTTCTATGCTAATAGTTTCTTCTCTTGTACTTCTAGATTTTCGAACTCTCTTCCAGATTCCTACTTCTCTGCCAACTACGATCTTAAAAAGTTTAAATGCAATGTCAATAATTTTCTCCTATCTTCTTAATACTTGTTCTTTTATTGTTCTCTTTTCTTAATATATAGTTTTGTTCATATTCTCTAACACTCAGTAACCCCCCTTGCGTCTCAGTGGCTTTATTGCCTTTGATCTTCAAAAATGTAAATGCCGTGTCAATCGTTATCTTCTGTCTTCTTAATACTTGTTCTTTTATTGTCCTCTCTACTTAATAGTAGTTTTTCTCATATTCTCTAACACTCAGTAACCACTTTGCGTATTAGTGGCTTTAGTGCCTTTAGGGGAAATTTAAATGTAATGTCAATCGTTATCTTCTGTCTTCTTAATACTTGTTCTTTCATTGCCCTCTCTCCGTAATAGTAGTTTTTCTCATATTCTCTAACACTCAGTAACCACTTTGCGTATTAGTGGCTTTAGTGCCTTTAGGGGAAATTTAAATGTAATGTCAATCGTTATCTTCTGTCTTCTTAATTCTTGTTCTTTCATTGCCCTCTCTCCGTAATAGTAGTTTTTCTCATATTCTCTAACACTCAGTAACCACTTTGCGTATTAGTGGCTTTAGTGCCTTTATTTAAATGTAATGTCAATCGTTATCTTCTGTCTTCTTAATACTTGTTCTTTCATTGCCCTCTCTCCGTAATAGTAGTTTTTCTCATATTCTCTAACACTCAGTAACCACTTTGCGTATTAGTGGCTTTAGTGCCTTTAGGGGAATTTAAATGTAATGTCAATCGTTATCTTCTGTCTTCTTAATTCTTGTTCTTTCATTGCCCTCTCTCCGTAATAGTAGTTTTTCTCATATTCTCTAACACTCAGTAACCACTTTGCGTATTAGTGGCTTTAGTGCCTTTTAGGGAAATTTAAATGTAATGTCAATCGTTATCTTCTGTCTTCTTAATTCTTGTTCTTTCATTGCCCTCTCTCCGTAATAGTAGTTTTTCTCATATTCTCTAACACTCAGTAACCACTTTGCGTATTAGTGGCTTTAGTGCCTTTAGGGAAATTTAAATGTAATGTCAATCGTTATCTTCTGTCTTCTTAATTCTTGTTCTTTCATTGCCCTCTCTCCGTAATAGTAGTTTTTCTCATATTCTCTAACACTCAGTAACCACTTTGCGTATTAGTGGCTTTAGTGCCTTTAGGGGAAATTTAAATGTAATGTCAATCGTTATCTTCTGTCTTCTTAATACTTGTTCTTTCATTGCCCTCTCTCCGTAATAGTAGTTTTTCTCATATTCTCTAACACTCAGTAACCACTTTGCGTATTAGTGGCTTTAGTGCCTTTAGGGAAATTTAAATGTAATGTCAATCGTTATCTTCTGTCTTCTTAATACTTGTTCTTTCATTGCCCTCTCTCCGTAATAGTAGTTTTTCTCATATTCTCTAACACTCAGTAACCACTTTGCGTATTAGTGGCTTTAGTGCCTTTAGGGGAAATTTAAATGTAATGTCAATCGTTATCTTCTGTCTTCTTAATACTTGTTCTTTCATTGCCCTCTCTCCGTAATAGTAGTTTTTCTCATATTCTCTAACACTCAGTAACCACTTTGCGTATTAGTGGCTTTAGTGCCTTTAGGGAAATTTAAATGTAATGTCAATCGTTATCTTCTGTCTTCTTAATACTTGTTCTTTCATTGCCCTCTCTCCGTAATAGTAGTTTTTCTCATATTTCCAACACTCAGTATACCCTTTATGTTTTAGTGGCTTTAGTGCCTTGCTTGGGGGAGGGGGATTTAAATGCAATGTTAATTGTTATCTTCTGTCTTCTTAATTTCTTTTCTTTTTTTTTTGTTTTCTTTCTCCTTGATAGTACTTTTTCTCAAATTCTCTAACATTCAGTAATCACTTTACATCTTAGTGGCTTTAGCACCTTGCTTGGGAGGAAATTTAAATGCAATTATCATTATCTTCTGTCTTTTTAGCTCTTGTTCATTTACTGTTCTTTTTATCCTTAATAGTAGTTTTTCTCATATTCTCTAACACTCAGTAACCCCTTTGTGTCTTAGTGGCTTTAGTGCCTTGCTTGAGGGGGAAATTTAAATGCAATGTCAATCCTTATCTTCTGTCTTCTTAATTTTTGTTCTTTTCTTGTTCTCTCTCCTTAATAATAGTTTTTCTCATATTCTCTAACACTCAGTAACCACTTTGCGTTTTAGTGGCTTTAGTGCATTGCTTGAGGGGGAAATTTAAAAGCAGTGTCAATCGTTATCTTCTGTTTTCGTAATTCCTTTTCTTTTTTTGTTCTCTTTTTTCTTTAATAGTATGTTTCTCATATTCTCTAGCACTCAGTAACTGCTTTGCGTCTTAGTGGCTTTATTGCTTTGCATGAGGGAGAAATTTAAATGCAATGTCAATCGTTATCTTCTTAATTCTTATTCTTTTATTGTTCTTTCTCCATAATGGTAGTTTTTCTTATATTCTCTAACATTCAGTAGCCCCTTTGCGTCTTAGTGGGTTTAGTGCTTTGCATGGGGGGGGGGTAAATGCAATGTCAATCGTTGTTTTCTGTCTTCTTAATTCTTCTTCTTTTAATGTCTTCTCTCCTTAATAGCAGTTTTTCTCATATTCTATAACACTCAGGAAGCCCTTGCATCTTCTTGGCTTTAGTGCCTTTTTGGGGGGGGATTTAAATGCAATCTCAATCGTTATCTTCTGTCTCCTTAATTCCTGTTCATTATTGTCCTCTCTATTTCTAACACTCTCATTATATCCGCTTGCAACCGAGTGGTCTTTATTGAATTTCTTGTGTGGAGATGTTTAAAGTCTATGGTCACGCACCCAATTTGAAGCACTCAACTGCAAGTACATTTTCTAATCTCTATCATTAAAAAAACTTTTCGCATAAAACTCTATTAGAATACTGGAATGTTAGAATACCCCAGAAAATGTTTCTGCTTATGTTGCATTACCGTCCCCTTATGATAATCACAGGTGGCGGGATTTTGATTTACCGCCCCCTGACGATAATTACAGGTGGTACGAGATTTGAAAGAACCAATCTCTTTTCTCGGTAACTTTGCATAGCGAAAAGACGTATATTTTTTGCTCCCGCCAATATGTAAGTACTCAACTCTAGACACCGAATGTTGCTTTAAATTCTTCACGTTTTATTTCATTTCTCATCGTCGTCAAATGGGATAGTGCCGAGGTGGGGAGGAATTTCTCGCGATGACTTTTCATCCGACAAAAATGTAAGACATTAAAGGTTGCTTTGAACTCATCACATTTCATATTTCTCATTTTTCCTTTTGTAAGATGTCCTATCAATATATTTGTTAATACTTCTTTGTTTAAATTCTGTCTTATCTTTCCTTTGGCCTTGAACGAGTCGACCAAATTGTTTGCGGGTGAAATGTACCAGGAGCATATAAAATCTCATTAATAATGTTGAAGCCTGCAACAATTAATACCTGAAAAGTGACGAGTAAAATTTTCATGATCACCTCTAAATACCTTTATCAAGTAATTATTAACTTGCTAGAAAATAATGGACGATTTTATTACTGAATTAATGTATTTAAACAGTATTCAAAGCAATCAAAATATGACCCATGAACATCGAGTTATAAGATTATTTATGTCTTTACGATAACTCAAAATGTTTCGACGCAAACAAATCTTTGAATGCAGTTTCTGCATCTTTTTTGCAACGGAATATCGTTAGACTTTTTGCAACGGAATATCTTTAGGCTTTAGGGATAATCAAGATGTTTGAAAAAGTGGTAGTCAGTGGGAGACAGTTCAAGGGAAAATATGATGGCGGTGGCAAAGTCTCAATTCCCA